AAGTGCACTGACATTCTTATATCATCAGAGAAGTCTGGGACTGATAGTATCTTGGTAGATTTGAATAAGATGGGGACTTGACATAAAAATATGGACTTTATATAAAAAGGCAATGGCTTCATGTTAATATTTCTGTAAGAATACCATAGTCCTTTCTAGATCCTATTTTCTATTCCTTTAATTATTTTAGTTGCTCTTTTACTAAATCCTCTTCGCTTCTCATCCAATGCAACGTGAAATGTAATACTGCAGACAAGGTCAAAACGTTTAAAAGAAAGACTTTGTCTTCAGCAGAACATTTCATCACGGGAACCATCTCCCAACTAGTGGTGACCACTTCTTGGTGTTTCAGCAGAAATTACAGAGCGTAGTACATATGGCCAATAGGAGATCCCATGGAACTCGTGTTCTGTCCTGGGTATGACCCATTTCTTCCTGTAAGATAGAGTGCTTTCAGTTCAACACAGATACAAATCAACACGCACAATCTTTAAGTGTAATATAGTTTAAATAAAAAAACCGCACAACTCCCATAAGAGTAATTTTATACTTTCAAATTTTTCTGATAGACATCTGCTTAGAAAAACTAGAGAATGATTATTTGTCTTTCCCTAGTAGCCTTTGATTACATCTTCTTCCAGTTGACATTGTGCCCTTCCATAAAATCTTTCATTTCTTAAACGTTCTCAACTCTTTGGTCTTATTTTGCTAAATTGAAAACATTTTTATTGTCTTTCTCTATAATTTCTCTAGGTTATCTTTAGCTTGTGAAACACGAACTGTTTATGGCAATAGACTTGCCATTCTTAAATATTGCTTCCATTCCTCCTGGAGGTGTTTGGTGTCAAAACTTTTGCTGTAGGAGACAAGAGATGGACATTCAATCACGGTGATGAGGATATTGCTGTGCTTTACTATTCACCGTCAAAGGCCAAGTTTCATTCTATCATTTGAGATCTCAGAAAAATATTGTCTCGAAGATGTCATTACCCAAAATGGACATTTTATTAACACCCAAATTGAATCTTCTGTGTTGGCTGACATGATGCTTTTATATTACATAAAGGTAGAAAACCCCTCAAGTCAGTAAGAAAATTCTAGATTAATTACAATTCAGCTCTTAGTCTGATTACTATTCAAACAACCAAGGTATAGGGTTGCCTATTTTTATCTTATGAAAATATAATTATGTAATTAATATTAGTTAGAATGCTATTGTAGTAACATCCTAGGAACCATCTAAAATTATTTATCATACTGAAATTCTTCTAATGTGATATATTACTTTAAACAAATATCATAGCCTAAGGCTTATACATATTTTGTTTGATAGCAATTTTGTTTATAATGTTTTGCACACATTCCTTTTTTAATCCACTCCTCTGATGTGTTACTTTTTCCTCATGTTTTAATACACACTTACCTCTCTCTTCATATATACTGTGTAAATAATAAGTGTAAAATACAAGCAATCGCCCATTGCATGCTAACTCTTCACTTTGAGAACAAGTTATGCCGTTTTTCAAGCATATTGTAGAATCAAATCACTGCAGGGCCTGGGGTTCTGCTTCACAGACACCTCTTCTTAAGATTTTGGTTGTTCTTTCTCAGACTCAAATGTTCCCAAGATGATGTTGGAAATGAGATCTAGAATATTAATGAGAGTTTGACATTTGTAAATTAGGTAATTTGTTGATGTGGAAAGAACATCAGACTGTCATCTGTAATACAAATATATAATCTTTGGGATATTGGAAAAATTTGAATAAAGCAGGACTAAAGTATAGCTGTACTATGACAACAAATGATTTCCCAGCCTGGATTTTTCACTTTATTTTATATTCCCATTCATTCTATAAAGTGAAGTCATTCATTCTTTCAATTATGAGTCTCTAGAAGCAAGTGCACCAGTGCACCTACTCTACACACAGGTGGAGGATGGCCATATATGTGATGTGAGAAAATCGTCTATATGTGTCCTGATCCTCAGAACTCTCTCCCACTTGAAATGATGTTTTGAGAGAGTTCTTGTCATTAAGGATTTCTTTTTAATTTAGATACTTTTCTTCATTCTTTATGTAAATCCCTAACACTTCAGAATGAATGATTTTATCAGGTAACCTTTAGTGGGTGGATGACTGGAGAAAGATGGGGCCTTTTCCTCCTATGAAGAGTTACAGTCTCGGAAATCCACTAGGACGTTCCGTCCTGTCCTGTAGGGTTGCTCTGAGAGGGCATTGATTTGGCAGTGAGTTTAGCTTTGGTTTTGAGAACAGGTAAAGTAGAGCAGACAAAAGAAATTTTATCTCACTTCATTTTTATCTAAAACTTGTTTTAGACAACAGAATCTTAATCTAGGGGAAATCTAATTCTGAATCACTTCACTCAAAAAATGTATTAATGCTGATTTTTTTTGTGTATCACAGATGCCATTTACTGAGGAAAATTTGGAATGTGTTAATTAAATACCATACTGTTTTCATCCCCCTCCCCCAAGTGGTCCAAGTTTTCCTGTTTGTAACAGATTCACTCCATTCTGATTCATGGCAACTCTACATGTTCCAAAGTGGAACTGTTTCATAGGTTTCTCCCTCCTGTAATCTTTTAATTTTAAATCATTGTACTGGGAGCTCTTACAGCTCTTATAACAATCTATAAATCAACTGTATCTAGCATTTTTGTATAGATGTTGCCATCTTTATTTTCTAAACATTTACTTTCTATTTGAGCCCTTGGTATCAGCTCCTTGTTTTTCCTTCCCTTCCCCTTTCCCACCCTCATGACTCCTTGATAAATTATAAATTATTATTGTTTCATATCTTATACCTACCACTGTCTCCCTTCACTCAAGTTTCTGTTGTTCATCCTTCCGGATGTGGAGGTATTATGCATCAATCATTGTGATCGGTTCCCCCTTCCTCCCTTCCCCATCCCTCACACCTTCTCCCTATCCTCCTGATATCGCCATTCCCATTTCTATTCCTGAAGCATTTATCTGATTCTGGATTCTGTGTGCTGTGAGCTCTTATCTGTACCAGTGCACATGCTCCAGTCTAGCCAGAACTGAAAGGCAGGGCTGGGGTCATGAGAGTTGGGAAGGAGGGTGGGAGCTTTGAGGAAGCCTCAAAGAACCAGAGGAATATTGTGTGTTTCATAGGTGCTTTACTGGGCCCTGGCTGTCTCATCCCTTCCTTGTGACACTTCTGTGACACTTCTGTGATGGGATGTCCTTATTGTCTACAGATGGGTTTTGGGTCTCAGCTCCGACCACCCTTGTTCTCAACAATGGTTTTTCTGGGGTGTGTGTGTGTGGGGGGGGTGGTCTTCTGGTGCCTGTTACCTGATTCCATTGACACTTCACGATCACGGTCCTACAGGCTGGTGTGCTTCTTCCATGTGGGCTTGTTGCTTCTCTGCTAGATGGCTACTTGTTTAACTTCAAGCCTTTAAGACCCCAGATTCTATATCTTTTGATAGTCAGGCACCATCAGCTTTCTTCAGCACATTTGCTTATGCACCCATTTTGTCTTTGGCAATCGTGTTGGGAGGGTGAGCATCACAGAATGCCAGGTTGTTAGAACAAAGTGTTCTTGTGTTGAGGGAGGCCCAAAGTCCATCCTCAATGTATTGCCATATAAATATATATACATAGGCCAATACCTCTATTTTTATGAATTAATGTATTTTCATAAGTGTCCACCCATGTTTATACCTCTGTCCATAGTTTTGCTTCCTAGATCTTTCCTCTGTTTCCTTTTGCCTTCATCCTGCCCCACCACCATGCTCGTCCTTCTTCTACCTCTTAGTAATTCTGCTCAGCTAGCTTGCTGTTGCTCCAACATCCTTGAGATCTCTATGTCCTCCTTGTTGTTGCTTTTAATTCCCTAGTTGTTCCCCTTGTCTTTGGTGTTGTTTGTTTACCACTCCTTTCCACTGCCTCCTCCTCCCCCATAGTCCCTCTGTAACCATTGGTCCCATTACTTTCTTCTGACTTGCTTCCCATGCCTATCTTATATAGGTAGGCAAAACATCAATAACAGAGACCAAAAAAGAAAAGAAAAGAAAACAAAAGATTGAATAAAAAGAGGGAAAAGAAAAAGAACTAGCCACCCTCAGGGGCTTTGGGGCTTTGCTTTGCTCCCATTGCTGATCTGTTATGTTCCCTTCTTGGTTCACCCTGCTGTGTGAGTTCAGACTAAACTCACTCCTCCCAGTGTATCCACTGTATTTAGCTCTGTCACGGAGTGCTCCAGTGAGGGGGACATTATGTTTCGAGCTGTTGTCAGCCCTATAGTCAGTCCTTCCTGTGCCTTAGAAGCTCATGCAGAGACCTCATCCTCAGGGCTGGGTGTGCCAGTCTGGGGTTTAGTCCCTTACTCTCTCTCTCTCCTTCTTAGTTTGCTTCTGTATGGGTATTACAGGCCAGCCCCTCTTCTCAACCTGTAGGTTTAGTGTTGTCCTCTGTAGCACATAGTTCTATGGGTGGGGTGGATGCTCAGTTTGGCTCTGATTGGGGCCGGCCCTGTAGACCTCTCTGTTCATGAGTTGCTCCAGGTAGTTACACTGCCCTCAAGGTTTGGCGTGCTGTGGTGGGGTCTGCACTCACACTCCCATTTCTGTGGAGTGTGTTTCTATTTGTGATCCAAGATCATCCAATCATGGGGGTAAATGTATGGCAGGAGAAAGATGACCGTCTTAATGTATCATTTATTTCTCTTAGAGTATACTTATGGTTATTGAAAACCCAGAAGTGTATCATAGTTTATATCAGAAGAGGTAAAAAATATTCTATGTTATATCTGTATAGGAATGTACATCTTCTACCTCTCAGGACTTGAAGTTATTTTCATCTTGGAATATGATTTTACAAATGCCTGTGCTCATAATACTCATAATATGCTAATTCATACATATATATAATTATATATATAATTTCCATTGTCTTACTTAAGTCTCCCTCCATCCTTGCCTTCTCTAGGTCACCTGGTTTTCTTCCCTGTATGGAAAATGGCAATAACTCTAAAGTGTCAGAATTTGTCCTTCTGGGCCTATCATCCTCTTGGGAGCTGCAATTATTTCTTTTCTTAATATTTTTTATGATTTATCTGGCTATTGTCCTGGGAAACCTCCTGATACTGGTGACTGTGCGAGTGGATGCCCACCTACTCCAGTCTCCCATGTACTACTTTTTGGGCCATCTCTCCTTCATTGACTTATGCCTGAGCTGTGTTACAGTGCCCAAGATGTTAGCAGATTTTCTAAGACAGGGGAAAAGTATCTCTTTTTCCGGATGCCTGGCTCAGATCTACTTCCTTCATTTTCTGGGAGCCAGTGAGATGTTCCTGCTGACAGTCATGGCCTATGATCGATATGTTGCCATCTGTAATCCTTTGCACTACCTGACTGTCATGAACCGCCAGCTATGCCTTCAGCTGGTTTGTGCCTGCTGGTGTGGTGGCTTCATCCACTCCATCACACAGGTCACACTGGTTATCCAGTTGCCTTTCTGTGGCCCCAATGAATTGGATAACTTCTACTGTGATGTCCCACAGGTCATCAAGCTGGCCTGTATGAATACCTATGTGGTCGAGGTGTTGATGGTCTCCAACAGCGGTTTACTATCTCTCATCTGCTTTTTGGTCTTGCTATTCTCCTATGCTGTCATCCTGATGACTCTGAAGACTCGATTCCGACAGGGCCAGATCAAGGCCCTCTCGACCTGTGCCTCCCACCTCGCAGTGGTCAGCCTGATCTTTGTGCCATGCGTATTTATCTACCTGAGACCTTTCTGCAGCTTCTCTGTGGATAAGGTGTTCTCTGTATTTTATACAGTGATCACTCCCATGCTGAATCCCCTTATCTACACACTCAGAAATACAGATATGAAGACAGCTATGCAGAAGCTGAGGAGAAAACATGTGGCCTTCTGCTACCATATGGAAGGATGAATCGAGAGAGAGGACTTGAAAAACATATTCTTCGTTGGGATGCTCTCAACTCACGGAGTACCAGAAGATAACCGAATGAATGAAAATCACTTTGGTAACTTTGGGATAAATGCTAAAACAGCAGCTAAAAATTAAAACATACGGCTCTCAATCATAATTGGCAGGCACCAGTGGATTTTTTTGAGTGTTAAATATGACACAGAAAACTCAGAAGCACTTACTAGATCATGAATGATAACAGCAATTAGTTGAGTACTAGGGTTGGAGGACACTTGACAAATCAACCATCCTATCCCTTTTGTTTGCATGTGTTGCTGTTAGCTGCAGTCAAGGCAGCTTGGACTCAATGACCCTCTGTAGAGCAGAATGCAAGGAACACTGCTGGGTCCTGTGCCACCCTCACAATTGTTGTTATGTTTGAGCCCATTGTTGCAGTCACTGTGTCAATCCATCTAATTCAGGGTTATCCTCTTTTTTTAATTGCTCTATTACTTGAACAACCATAAAGTGCTTTTATAGGGACTGGCCTCTCCTGACTACATGTCCAAAGTACGTGAGACAGAGTCTTGCTATCCTCACCTCCGAAGAGCATCAGGCTGTATTTCTACAAAGACAGACCCTTTTGTTTGTTTTCTGTCAGTCCAAGGTATTTCCAATATTTCAAATGCACCTATTCAACTCATTTAACCTCTTAATTCCATTCAAGTAAAATAAATTATATCTCCATTTATTCCTTATTCCTCTAAGATCTAACAGCCCCTACATGTTGTTGGGAGAGACCAGTCCCTGGAGAAGGACATTCTGTTTGGTGAAACAGGAGCAGTGTAGAAGAAGAAGGCTCTTCCTGAGCTAAACTAACACAGTGGTGACAGCAATGGCCTTAAACAGAAGATCATGTTGTACTGCATGTTGCAGTATTTTGCTCTAATTTTCCTAGAGCTGCTAAGAGATGGAACCAACTCGATGACATCTTAGTTGTTCCAACAGCAGTCAGAAAGTTCCTTCTTATATCTCCTCAGAGTTTATCCTGAAGCTGTGTGAATTCCGTTTTTCCTTGCCTCTACTAGACCCTTAAAATTGAACTAGCTGTTCTCTATATATCAATACGTACCATGGAACCATGCTTTATATTGTGCCAAACTTCAGAAATGCAGCTGACCAACTCACTTGAATGATCAGATACCCTCCACCAAGTTTATATCTGAGAAACAGAAAGGCTGAGTGTCCTTGGATTACAGAAGCTATTAGTATTTGGTTTTAGAGGCTTTTCTAGGGGAGACCTGTCATTACATCTTGAGTTTTAAAAATATATATATTTATAGATTATAAACTGGCTCTTTAATTGATCATAAGGTTTATGAGCTTTGAGCTCTAAAGGAAATGAGAAAGTAAGCAAAACAAAACAAACCCCTGTGACTTAAGGCACTCGTTCACCTGATCCCTGACCTTTAGGTACTCATAGTTCTTATCGCCGAGCCTTCAAAGTGCTCTGAGCAGTCTGTCATATCACCAACCTTCATGGTTACAAATGAATTCAGAGTTCTTAAGTGACCTACCCAAGATTACTTAGAAAAAGTCTCATCAGCTTATGAAACTAGTAATTTTGTAAAACAAAGATCAAACTACTCTTTTGTTCTCCAGAGAGATTATTTATATAAATCATATGGATTAGTTGCTCAATTGCCACTATGTATGTTTAAAAGCTCCAAAAACAACAAACAAAACAAAAACATTCATTGTTGTCAGGTTGATGCTCGCAAGCAGAACTGCCGCAAAGAATTGTCCTGACTGCAAATCTTAATGGAAGCAGACTGCCACAGCTTTCTTCCAGGGAGTGGCTGGTCGGTTTGAACCACAAACCTTTTGGTTAGCAACTGCTTAGCCACTAGACCACCAGAGATCCCTTTTAAGTGTTCCAGAGATAGGTTGTAAGAAATCATGCTCACTTACATATTTAGCTATTTCTGATGTACAGCTTCTTTCAATAGATGTTATAGGGAATAGAAAGATACTTACTCAATTTATTAAATGAAAAGATAAAAATACACCTTTAAGCATATTTTTATATTAATCAATTTTATTTTCAAATTTGTCAGGGAGAGTTGTTTTCTGACTGCTGAAAAGCAAACCTCAGGACAAAGATTTAAACTCCCCCATTAGTGGAATTTATATCAGAACATTCCTTATGTTTGGAAAAAGAAGGAATTTTCATTTCTATGATGAGAGTAAAGACATTATCTTTAAGAAATTTTATGTCTGTCTGATCTACTCCTGTAGATCAGGAGTGATTTTTAATAGGATGAATAAGGATTGGAGTGGTATCCCTACTGCAGATCAAATGCCTCTCTTTACATTTAATTTCCCTCGAAGTTTTCACAGGACTGCTTTCATTAAAATGAATAGCCAGAAGAACAGACAGGCGGAAACCGCCAACCAGAGAGTTGGTAGTGTCAACCAGGCTCATGAATCTCAGGCCTTCTTTTAGCATTCCTCATTTCTTTTCTTCCCCCAAACCATTTTATTAGGAGCTAATCTAGACATTATACCGTGGCATAGTCCAATCACATCAAGCGATATTGTACAATTGCTACCCCAAATCAGTTTCAAAACACTTTCTTCCTTCTTGAACTCCTTGATATCAGCTCCTCCTTACCTTTGACCGCCCCCCCACCAGCATATTTTATTTTAGTAGTTGTGTCTATAGGTTCATCTAGCCCGGGTTTCATCTACCAAAAAACAGATAAACATGTAACAAAGATTCAAGAAGGCTACCCACAATGACAAAACGCAACTGAGATAAACCCCAAATTGAAAAACAAACAAACAAACACAGAAAATATTAAAAACCAGATCAATCCCATAGTTTATCAGAGGGGAGATCAAGTGACACCGTTGAAGTCAAATTTATCATTTTGTCTCTCCAATACTCTCTATCAGATAATCAGGTTATTTCACATCCCTCAATGACAGACATAAATCAATGGAGGTTTATTCCCTGTGCAAATCCTGCGAATATATTTTGGGCTTCCACTGTCATCCATAGCCTTATGCACACCAGAATCTCACAACTTAATTTATATAATTTGCAATCCTTGGATCATGAATAGTGGTATGCTTCTTCCATGTGGACTTAGTTGACATCTCACTTAGATGGCTGCTTGTTTGGAAACAAGACTTTGAGATCCCAGATGCTATTCTATCTGATAGCTGGACACCATTTAATTTCTTCACCACTTTTTGCTATAGCACCCATATCTTCCGTGTTTCCTTCATGAGGGCAAGTGTAGAGCAGGGCCTTGTTGTAAGAGCTAATTGTTTTTATATTGGAGCTAGGATTAAGTGCTGCATCAAAATCTATTCCTAGATCCTTAGGATTTTTCATTTCTGATATTTCTCTTTTTTTTGAAGCGAAGTTTAAGGTCTTTGAAAACCATTGTAAATGCTCAATTAATTGCAAATATTGGAAGAATTATTGCAGTAAACCAATTACTTTGTATATTTTCTTTTGCATCTTCAATTTTCCAATATTATTTAACAACTTACCTACATTAAATTCTCTTTATTAATATAATTGATAAAGTTTTCCTGACTGTTCATCACTAATACTATTTGAGTTTATGGAGCTTCAGAATTTACTTTTCAAATGCCCTGATCCTACTTTCAGGGTCTCCCTGAGCCTCTTCTTTGGGACTATACTCCCGAGGATGGATCATGCCAATGGTGTGTGCACCCTAAGATGGAGGGGTGGCAGAGAGTCACTGTGTGTAAATTATGTGGACAGAGTCTGGACATGTCGTTACAGAGTCTACATTTGTGCATGAGATCCTTTCATGGTGGAATCCTTTTAAGAAAATCCTTTTAAGGTATTATTACAACAAAATCAGTGTTGCCACACCAACATATGCCCCTGACTTAAGTGATATTTGTATTCTGTAACATCCATTTATTCATTACTCACTAATTATTTATTAATTGTGTACCCATTAATTCAATAATTACATCTGAGAACCTTAAGTGTACATAGGAATTCGGTAGACATCTTGCTATTTGGGTCTTCCACAAAGCATCAATATTGTTTTGTTGTGGTTGGATGCTGTTGAGTGAATTCTGAATCATAGCGGCCTGATATAAACATCAATAAGTAATCTAAATATCAATTAGAGAGTGTCTCAACATCAGCCAAAGGAAGGTGAGAAGTATTCTAAATATATGAGCCTCTGTAAGTGGGGGAGCAGTAGTTGTATAGAGTAGATATATACAGCACTTCTCTGTCAGTTTATCATACTGCCGTGGCTTGTGTGATGCTGCAATGCTGGAAACGACTTCACTGATATTTCAACTACAAGCAGGGTCACCAACGTGAACACATTTCAGTGGAACCTCCACACTACAAAGAAGAAATGGGCTGTCTACTTTGGAGGAATTCGCCACTGGAAACCTTATGTACAGCCTAGAAAGATTGTCAGAAACTGAAGGCCTAATGAGTGGAAGCAAAACTTTGTCAAAGATATTGCCAGAAGATGAGCCCTACATGCCAGAAGGCACTCAAAATATGACTGAGGAAGAGCTGCCTTTCAAAGTAGAGTTGATCATAATGACATGAATAGAGTACAACCTGTGAGAGTAAAGCCCTGGGCCTCCATTTGCTGATGGGGCAGGACTCAAAATGAGAAGAAATAACTGCGAAAATCTACTACTAGTCAGAATTTGGAATGCGCTACGTATGCCTCTAGGATAAGTGGAAGACATGAAATGGAATGTGTATGGTTTCATCTCCTAGGCCTTATCGAGCTGGAATGGACTGGTCTGGCCATTTGAATCAGAAAATCATATGATTTACTATTCTGGGAATGACACAATCAAGGTGAATGGCATTGCATTTATCATTAAAAGAGAAATTTCATGATTTATCTTGAAGTACAATGCTATCTGTGATATGATGATATCTATCAGCATTTAAGGAAATTTAATCGATATAAGTATTATTCAAATTTATGCTA